TCTTAAGCCTGGGCTCATAGAGCAAGGGAGGGTTTCCAAGTCTGTACTGCCTGCGCTCACGGTAGCCCTGGGCATCYCCTAAGGGCAAAGTCCGTTCTAGGGAATCCTGCTCTTCCAGGCCTTGCAAGACTCCTGTGAAAGAAATTGTTGCTAGACGTTTAAGTGACTGCTTAATGCAGCACRATGCATGCTGTGTTATTTGCATTCTTTCCTTGGTGTGTAATAATCATTGCTGAGTTTAAGTATGTACCTTTTAACATGTTACACCTAACTTGAAGATATTCATAGCTAACTGCTCATTGCATTTGTTAGCCAGTAGTCRTGTACTATAGTGATTTTTCTAAACTTAACACGTCTCACCTCTTTAAAGATGGCATCATATAGAAAATTAAGTCCATGACATTGCAATGAGTTTTGTGAAAGAAGATTCTTGAACTTATATACACTAAAACTTGAAAACAGTCTAATAAGCATTTTGGAAGCATGCACTTGTTTAATAGGAAAGATTGCAAGTGACTTTACAATATGACATTAAATCTGTTTTAATTTTTTATGCATGGATATTTAATCAACTTCCAAAATTTGTAATATGGGCCAGCGACTCAACTCTCGAACATAAAGCTGGCAGTGTAATTTCTCATATAGTTATTAACATTGTGCATGAACTGCTCACAGCGTTCAGCAAAGGGCAAATGCGATAGGCCGTCTACAGCACCCGTGGGTGCTTTGTGCTGCAGAGCTTCCCCTCATTTTGTGCATTTTCTCTCTTTCTCTGGAAACACGGGAACACATTGTCAGGGTAACAATTTGCTTTCAGTTATCTGTGAAGAATTCATTTAGTTGAATAGCATCTTATCCCGACAGCAAAATTCTTACCTATATTCATACTCTAACTCCAATTTTGAGCTGTTTTTCATTGTTGTTTTGACAGACATAGATTACCAAACTAAGCTGTGAATTCTTGTTCAGAYTTGAAATCCCCCAACATTTAGTGATCCTGTCAGGAAACCGAATGAGTGACTCRTAGAGAAAGCCCTGTAGGCAACTCTGAGCATGGCCCAGTTGTTCTTAATCTTTTAAATTAAAACCTTACCCCTGTACAATGCCTGCAGTAACTGGTGCTGGCTGACACGTGGAGCCGCTCTGCGCTGCTCCTGTGCTGGCTGTCAGGGATCTGCCCCTGCAGACATGCCTGTGTGCGCTGGCAGGCTGGTGAGAAGCCCAGCCTGTGGCACAGAGTATCCCTTGCTTATGCCCGGGTGCACAGACCCCGGGGCGGCCGGGTATTTTTCAAGGAGACTCGATCACCTTTTTGCCCTCCTTGACAGCCYATTTGCTATGGGAAGGGTACCATCCATCCTTTGGCAACACGGGTATAACGAAGCCTGCGTGGTGCAGCCGGAGGCACCATAYGTTCCAGTGCGAGCAGCGCTCCGGAGGCGTTCCAGCCCTCGCCTGCTCGTTAACGTGACTTTTTGATATTGCAGGAAATCAGAGCTTTCCTAGGAGCAGTTGTGTGCCACAGTGCAAAATGCAAATACAGAGCACTGGAGCTGCCTCTTTTCTCAAAATAAAACTAAAAAAAAAGCAATATAAATATCCTGTCGCTCAGCTAGGTTTGTAGTAGAGCTGATACAAAATTTAGCCTGTGATAGCATGAATACAATGAAATTAGTAAAATTTAAGACCTTATGCAAAGCTGTCTCAGTAAAGATTGGATATGCAACACAACAGCTTAATGAAGCTGTCAGGTCAATGGACATGTTGTTGGCTAAATTCCTTGCTATTAGTGTGTCTGTTTTTTATAAAAGGAAGCAGTACAATTTTATACAGGGTCTGCCCTGAGAGCTGCAGCCGTGCTCCGTGTTGGCATGGATCCTGGGATGTCTGCGAAGTCAGGGTGAGTCCTGCTGTGAAACACCCCATTCCGGCTGCCTTGGTGGTGKTGTTGTGCAGTCGTCTAGTACGTGGTGTGTGTTTGATGCGTGTGACATCACATGGCTGAAGTATTAATAGCAGCCTGAGAAGACGGGAACCGGGTTCCTCAGAGGGGGTTTGCACCAAGGTTGCCACGACTCCTGTACGGTGTTTCTGATTCACTGTTACTCCCCGCTTACAGAAACCCATGACAAATCAGACTCACATTTTGCTGATCTTTATTTGCTCCTGCTGTTGTCAAAAGTGGGAGAAATTTAGTTCCCAGTGGGATGGCAGTACCTCCCTAGGGATAGGATTTTGCTGGTTTTTGGAAATTCATGTGCCCATCAGTAGCACCAGTCTTTCTTTTTTTCAAATGTCACTTTACAACCTGTTCTGGGTGTTATTACATTGATGGCCTTTTCAAAAATAGTTTTATTGCAGTTCCTTACTGGTACTGATAATTGTTCTTTAAATATCTTTTTTTTTATTTTTTACTTTCCCTGAGGTCTTTGCCCTTTGACCTAGGTGTCTCTATTTTTTTTTCTTTTTTTGATGGTATATTTGGTATTAGCTTTTTCAGATCACTGACTGAATTAGATGAATAGTTTTGTGGTTGCTGCTGAAATTAATGAGATTTTCTACTGCTATTTSCTTAGCTTTTGGCAGCTAAAGTCTTAGACTAAAGCAACTCATAACTTGCATGCATCTTCTCTAATTTCAATTGTAATTTCATCCATAGGTAAAATCTTGGGTGCCTTTCGTGCTGGGATGCAGTTGCTGGGGAGAGTGTCTGTAGCCCTCAAGCTCTGGGTCTATCAGGGGCCTTGTGAATAAATTGTTTTTTCTTCAGGGAAACTTGCTGAGCAGCTCATTGAGAGGTAGTGGAGGTGGGAGCACGAGGAGAACACGTTTCAGTGCCTTTTGCACAGGCCTTTGTGCTCTTTTCAGCTAGCGGGAGAGGTGGATGTGATTGCCAAGCACTTGCCACTCGCCCCGGGCACTGAGCGGCTGCCCAGACCACGTCACACTGGAAGAGCTGGGTGCTTTCCGTGTATGGCATTTTCCGTGTTTGTAGTTACCAGAAGTGTTTTAATGCACTCAGGTGATGGAAAGTCTTGCATGTGTCAATATACCAGTGTGGAATGAGAGAGTACTGCTGGCTGATGAATATGTCAGCCTTCAGAGGCATGAAATACATGGCTTACTCTTCCATGTCTTGTAACTCCTGATGAGTCTTTTTTTCCTGCTAGTCTGCTGTGCTGAGGCTTGCTTTATTGTACAATAATTCTGAATGCCACCATTTACCTTTCTCTTAGCTTGAACAGCTCTTTCGACTGTTCATTATGTTGCAGAAGCTGTGAAGTATCACTACACAGGGACGGCCTTCGCKGAGGGAGCCCATTGTGCTGGTGTTTCCTTGATTACAGCATCCTCTGAATCCTCTCTGCCTGCTCGTTAAGAGAAAAAAGCCCTATAGCAGTGAAGCGCAGCCAGATCAGCCCCCTGCCTTTGATATGGAAAGTGCACTTAGCAGTTCCCGGGAGAAGCTGTAGTTAAAAGGTGTCACTGGAGTGAAAAGAGGCTTTTGTCTTTGTGTAACTCCTAGAACAGACTTTTCTCACCTGCTGGCAGGCAGACCAGGCAAGGTGGGACATGACCACGTAAGGTGGGATGTGACCAGGTAAGGTGGGACACAACCAGGCGAGTTGAGGTGCCACCAGGTAAGGTGGGACACAACCAGGCAAACTGGGACACCTCCAAGTTGGCAGCACATGCTCAGCAGCTGGTGGCATTTCTGCATCCATTTCTTGGGCATCTTCTGTGTCCGCTGGCTTTCGGCATGTGTCCTGGGCAGGATTGCAGCTGCCCSAGTGATCCCGAGGAAAGGATCCCCTGTGTTCAGCAGCAGAACTTGTAGCTGCAGAGGGACCTTGTACAGGGGCTGRGGAGGAAGCAGAGCTCGTCCCTGCTCCCAGGCAGGGCTGTGTGTCCCAAGTCYTTCTCCCGGGTGACCTGTGAAGGGCAGGGATTTCTGTGGCCATCTGAGGTAAGTTAAACATAACGCTTATTTTGGCTTTAGGAGATTTTATGATACCATTGTATGGATTAGGAAACAGCAGTTAGAGCAGTTTAGTTAAAACTGAAAAAACAATCCTACCTTAAGAAAATAAAACTAGAGTTTAATTAAACAAGATCTTGAAGTGATCTCTGGTAAATTTAGCTGTGAGGGGTAAAGCTCAGGACATAGCTAGGAGGTGACAACACAACCTTATGAAAGTGTCAGGTGGGGAATAAGCAGTGTGTTATGAGTCACAGTCCGGGAGGACCTTYGGAGGAGGTGAGGGGCGAAACGCGTCAGTCGGCAGAAGGTTGGGGTGTTGTCTGAAGCCCTGGTGACTGGTTGGGCTGTGAGAGCGAGGCTGGCGCCCACGGCCGCGCCTGACCGTTGGGATTAGGCCGCGGTCCCGCGTCAAGCCGAGGATGCCCCAGGCAGCGGGGCCGCGTTGGGAAGAGGGGTGGCGCTGGGTGTGAGCGGCCGTGTTGGGTATGAGGGACCGCACTGGGCAGCGGGGCCGCATGAGCCCGGCTCTGCGGGCAGCCCGCCRGGCCCAACAGGACAGCCACTTTTCAGGGGGAACAAACCCCCTGAAACCGGGCGGCCTCAGGAGGGCCCTTCCACCTTGGCAAGGGAAGCCGAACGCCCAGGTGTGTCCAAACAGGCTTTCCAAATACATGAGCTTTTCCAAATGGATATAAATTAGAGTTTCCAAATGGATATAAATTAGAGTTTCCAAATGGATATAAATTAGAGTTTCATGTCCCCAGTTATTGTACTGTTATTTCTAACTGTACTGTTATTTCTAACAGTAAACCTGGGGTGATGCTATGCCGAGATATATAAGCCAAGTTTAACGCTGGGAAGTTGACAGCTTAATCAGTTGTTGTMTTACCCCAAAGGAGATGCAGCTGGGAGATGCTCAAGGTCCTGCCTCTCGCCTGCCCAAACCCTCACCGTGCCCTTTGGTGTCCTGCAAAGGTGGAGCGGCCTCCGAGCAGCGTGTGGATGTGTTGCCAAAGAATAAAGCGTTCTGGCTTTATTAAGAGGGATTAAGAGGGATCCTCTTCAGTGGAAAACTCTATGAAAATACCTGTCTTCAGGTGCGTGAGTTTTGCTGCATAAAGCAATTGCTCTATAAGAGCAGTTTACTCTATAAGAGAACAGGTGCCGTTGCACCTCATTTTAATAGTATTTAACAGGAAATGAGCTGTTCAGTTTTCAGTGATGCACTCTAGAAACAGCATGATGGAAACCACTCTTTTTTATTCGTCTTTTATTCATCGTTTTGACTGTTTTAAACATGTTGGGCCTATCCTTTAATCTTTCTTTATGGGATATCAGTGTTTGCCATAGCAATATTTCCATAGCCTTTAACATTAGAGAGCCTAATCGCTTTGTTGCATTTCCTTCACTCAGTATTTTGGTACCTGCTTCTTGGTTTCCCTTTCTCCCTGCTCCCTTTTGTAGGTTAATGCAGCAGTAAAAGCTTCTGTGTCTAGATGAAAATACCCGACTYGGCTCGAGTTGAGTGGCCCAGGATAATGTTCAGTGGCGCTCGGTTCATCGTGGATTGTATCCTAGGTTCTGTAAGGAGAGCACTGAGCCCTTAGACAATGCCCTTAGAAAATGCAGAGAGCTTCCGAAAAGCTGCTGCTTGTGTGAGGTTGCAAGTCAGATACTCACATTTATTATCTTCAGAGGTTAAAAACTAGATGAGTTGTAATAGTCTGTCCTCTCTGATCATAATGCATTGCTGTCTCTGCTTTGTAGGAAGGAGATGCTTTTTTTCATCCTTTCCGAGGCTGAAGCCAAAGGCTTTTTTTTGCAATAGGAAAATAGCAGTCAAAATAGCATGGCAGTGAATTTCTTAAAGTACCCACACAAATGTATTTACATATCATAAATACATTCTATCTACTTCATGTCTTACAGCTTGTGCTAAGCTCTTATTGAAGATGGACAGAAATGGGCAAAGTCTAATGTGTTAGTTTAAAGCAAGTGCCAAAAGCATCTTAAAATTGATTTTTTTTTAACTGTACTTAGTAAAGGATTTATTTGGATTTGTCTGAAAACTTTCAGACTGAGAATCCCAATTTCGTAGTTCATTCATATGTAGGAAATGAATTTGAAATCTGAGCAGTTTTGATCTGATTGTGAAGTCACATGACCTCCATTTCTGGAGTGAAAAAAAAATTAAATCTCAGTTGGGTTTGGTGYGTGTGAATGCTCACAGTTACCTACAGAAACAGTTGCCCAATCGCTAACGTGTAGTAAATATTTGTCTTTGATTTAAGCATTTCTGGCAACGAATTATTTATTGCACTGAAGTGGATGTACAAAGGCACAGAAGCTTAGAATTGCTTTCAAAAGAATATTAACAAACCTATTTTTTTTGTATAAAAGATGCGCAGTATTGGACAACTGCTGTGTGCTGGAGATCATGAACAGCAGCGGCAGCGCATCCCACTTGTGCTGCCGCGCGGATTTGCCCCGGCCTCGCAAAGCCCTGCTCTGCTCGGGTAGGTGGTGCGCTCCCGGCCGGGGCTCTGCAGCGCTGCCYGGTCCTGGCTGTGCGTGTCGGGGGATCCCTGTGCTGGGGGGCGCCTGAAGGGGGGACCCTGCCCGTCCCCGTGGCGCAGCGGGCACGAGCCTCCCTCGGGAGGGCAGCGGTCGCGGGGCTGCCGCCGGCGCACGGCCCTGCGGAGCACGGGACCACCAGAACTGCTGCCTCGTGGCCGAGGAAAGGGCACCCTGCCTGCAGCGCCTTTGCCACCAGCCTCCTATCCCACTTTCTCGGCACTTAATACCGGAGTGCGAGTGCCTGTTTGCGTTATTTCCTAGATCATTGCTTTAGCACTCCTGAGATTTTACCTGATGTGACTTTTTATATCCTTGTAAAAACTGCAATGATCAAAAATGCACCAGCCATTTTCAATCCTATTTCTTTCCCAGCTTCTGCAACAGTATAGTGAATGAGTTCATGGGTGCTCTGTCTCTCACTGTCTTAAATTTCTTTCAAAGCAGTTATATTTCGGTCAGTGAGACATATGATAGGAAAACAAAGGTGAATTTACTTTAAAATTTTTTTCCACACATCTAACAGAATGCGATTAAACATTAAAACCATGCAGTTAATCTACCATTATTTACCAAAAGAAAAATTTCTGAGAAGTGGTTGTTATGGAAACAGTAGCCCTCTGTCCTTCCAAATGGAAAAGATTTATTTTAAGGGAGCCAGAAAGGGTTTAAATATTCAGTAAGTATAAAAAGGTGAGCTTACAGTATTCAGCTTGCATATCCTCCAGAAAGCTTCAAAAACTTCCATGAAGATGAGGAGTAAAAGGTAAGAAAACAAGTAAGAAAGATTTGAGAGTCAGTTGGTTTGAAATGGAAAAGCAATGGGTCTCATAAATAAGGAAAATAGGACATTTGTAAGGCAAAAAGTGCCGCTCAAATACAGACAAATCGTGCCGTGCGAACGCTGCGCGGCAGAGTGAGGCTCCAGCTCCATGGGTGGGTGTCCGTGCACACGCGGAGCTCCGCACGGAGCGTGAGCAGAGCGCTCGCCTTCCTGCACCATGGTCATCATCGTGGCTCACGTGCTCGGAGGGGCTTGCGTGACTGGCACCTTGAATAGCTGCTGTTTACAGGGGGTCTGTGGGCACAGAACTGCGTGTCACTTCCATCGGCATCGTGTCCTGGTGGCATTGCTGCTCGCATCCTAGGGCAGCGCCAGCCGTCTCTGCTGTCTGCAAAAACAGTCAGATTCGGGGTAGCAGGAGCTTCAGATGGCAATCTTAAGTTTTGTCATTTGTTGAACAGTGACATATGTGCAAAAATAARATTCCCAAATTAATAACAAAATAAACCTCCTGGTGCTACATGGGAAACGGGAAAATTGTTTCCCAAAATACATTCACGTTAAAAATTAAACTTTGGCTCCACTGCATTCCTGTTCCTTTTAGGCTTCCTTTTCAAAACAAAGAGCTACTAAAGACCTGTGAATTAAGATCTTATTCTTTTCCTGCAAATGAGTTAAATGTATAATGAATTATAATTCTCTAAATTTCAATGTGTTACTTAATTACAGAACACATTTAGATATATCTAACATATATGTTGTGTTTCTACTTCATTTCTGATTGGATTTCTTTTTAAATTAAGTGTGATCTGGTCCAACCACAGTAGTACTTGGGCAATGTAAGGAATTATATATTTTGGAGTCCTTTTGTACTTTGCAACAAATACATAACGACTGGCTGAAGGAAACCGATGGTGCGTGTGTGCAGATGGAGATGGGCTTTGGGGTTGCGATGCTTTTTCTGACGGTGCTGTGTTTGGGAAGRACTTTGCTCTGACGGGCAAAATGAGATGTGCAAAACTCCCTTCGCAGGCGAACCTTGTAGCAGCACGAGGCCCGTTTCCCTGCTTGCTTAGGTAAATTCATAATAATCGGTCAGGCCCATGTTCTCGCTCCTTGGTTATCCACGGGACCTCATGTTCTCGCTCCTTGGTTATCCACGGGACCTCAGTGCTGTCCTCTCCTCTCCCTCTCCTCTCGCAGCGTTCCCGCTCTCCGCCTTTGGCTCCGTGTGTCCTTAGAGGCTGGGTGTTTCCCGTGGCGCAGTGGTGCTGACGCTCAGAGGTCGGTCCCCGTGTCTGYGGGATGAGCTCTGACCCCAGAGCGCAGCGTTGGAGCACGGGGTGTCTGCAGCCTGGCCCCCGCACCCTCAAGCACAGTGTGTGCACAAAGCACTGAAAGACTCTCAGCTCTTTTTTCTTTCTRTGTGTGAGGTGTTGACACAATCCTCTAAAGTACCTGCAGCTCATAGTGCTGCTTTCTGTGTGGCTGGGCTGAGTGCCACATTTATAAAGTCTTTGTAATGCTAATTGCTGAAATACAGCTGCTAGGTCCCCAAGAAAGCACTGCCCATAGGCAGTGGAGTGCTGAGGTGGTGCTGGTCCCGAGCTGGGTGCTTTGGGTCAGCAGCTTCATGGCAAGCCAGGAGGGCCAGTTCCTTGCCTGGATGCTGCTCTCCACGTTCGGCCTCTTCTCTGTTCTGGGAGAGATGAGGGATTGCAGGTGTTTCTGCAGTGTGAATTCCAGCATGCCAGGTTAGTCTTTACAGGTGGTCAGCGTTACAAAACCAGTGCCACCTCTGCCCTCGATTCTGCAGCAGCTGTGAAAATTTCCTGTTAAACCTTGAGGCGCATTAGCTTGCTCTAGCCATTGCTCTAGATGTTAGTTGGTGACATAATCATTTTATTTCATATGTTTTCACAGTAAATTAGATATTATGTATAGATATATATTGCCAGAGGTCATTCCAGTCCTGTTGTTTTTATGTGTATTTAAGTATGAAATGAATTCATCATGAGATGGTTCAACACTCCCAATTAATTTTAATGGGCTCCTAGTTTCAACTTCCCTGGATCAAGAGCCTGGGAATTGAAAAGCAGCAAAGCTTTTTAATAAAGCCTTACAAATCTTGTTTTAAGTGCTGCACGTGGCTCAGCGGACTGTGGCTAACGAAGAGCCCACTCTATCAATTCGTGTGTGAATTGATACACCAGCGTGTGTGTCTGGTGCCTCATTTGATGCATAACGAGAGGCGCGCGGCGGGTCGGGGCGGCAGCGGCCGCTGCCCGGCGGGCTGTGGGGCTTGGCAGGAGCGGCCGCTCCGAGCGGCACGAGGGTGTCGGGAAGTGTCCCGGGCAGGAGCGCGGGGTGCGGGACGCAGAGCAGGCTCAGTGCCCGGTGGAGGGCAGCAACGCAACGGCTTCATCGGAGGGTCCGCAGAGACGGCGAGCGGACGGTACCGGGAGAGCGAGTGCGCTGCYTGTTAGCTGCTGTTCTACCCGTTTAGAAAGGAAGATTGCAGCCGCTGGCTGTGGTTTGCACCAGCGTGCGTTCTGAGGAGGCTTTTCATCCGAGTATCAGATTTGGTTTACAAGATCTGACAGGAATCTGCATAAATTATGATGGCCTCGGACAGATGATTAGTGTAAGGACACTGCATAAATAGTGACAGTGTTTGCTGTGCAAGTGAATGGGAAGCCTTACCCGTGTCTGCCAAATAGTCTTGTGGATGCGTGTGTCTGCACGTGCAGGGAATGGCAGTGTCTCCTAATGCCTGCCCCTCAGTGCAAGCACGAGTCCTTGCCAAGCTGATACGGATTTGGATCTCGTTGCTGCTGTGACGAAACGGCAGCAACGTTTCCAGCGTCTGTTTCCCGGCGATACTGCTAGGACGGCCCTGCTGTCCCTGGTGCACGCTCCTTCCCTGCGCCCTGCTCCGGGAGGGCTGCGATTCCGGCTGCGCTCGGGGCTGCTCCCGTGTTCGGTTTGTGTTTAGGGTGGGCGAGGAGGGACGGGGCCTCTGGGGAAACCTGGTGCACAGCCTGTATTTATAATCTGTGCCCCTCTTAACTTGCACAACCTTTGCTCYCGGCAAGCTTGAATATTTTATTAGTTCTTAGGGTTTTATACCCTTCCAGATATAATCTCTGTACTGCAAAGCCACTGTCCAAGCACCCTGCTTATATCCTTGCTCTGTGATAGCTTCAGAAAAAATGCACTGAAAAAATGAAATACAATATGAAGGATACAAGAAGGAATAGCGATTTACCCACTGACACAAAGTTTTACCATTCCCTAGTAATAAAATATCCAACTGCTTCAAATAGCCTGTGGCTAAATGAAGTGCAGCCAAATGTAGGAGAAGTCCTTAGTACTCTTCCCAGGTTGCCTGCACTCCTCATGCTTTTGCAGTTTGGAAAGATGACCAGCAAAAACCTCACCGAGGGCCTGGACTACAGTGCAAGGGTGTGTTGGTAGCCCTACCTGAGATAAAGATACTCGTAGAATTAAAGCATATGGTTTGTTATGCAGTTTTGATGGAAACCAGACAAAAKGAAAATGAAATACACGTGGCAGAAGGTGATCAAACGCAAGGCCATGTTGAGGAGTAGTGTGGCAGTGACCGCAGTCCTTGCTCTCAAAGCAGGTGATTCTGCCCTGGACGACCCTGAAGCTCTTTCTTGTAGAGAGAGTTGCAGCCCTGGACTCGGCAGCTCCTGGACCCGCTGCGGGACAGGCCTGTGCTGTGCTCGTTACGTAGCTTTGTGCCCGGCTGCTCCCAGTGCCGCCGTTCCCGAGCGGGCCGCGGCCGTGGACACACGGCGGTGTCGCCGGCCGCAACGGGCCCCGTGCCCAGCCGCGGCGCCGGGCTCGGCCCCGCTCACCCGCCTTGGTGGAGCAGGTGGATCGCGCTGGGAATCACCGCTCCTGCCTGCTGGGTTCTGTTCTGCTTCCTGGGCGCCTCAGACCTTCTCCAGCTGGGTCTTGTTTCCTTTTATTTTCTTCCAGCTTTCTTGGGTTCACTGTGGCTGTTGTGCTCGGTGCCCAGCAATCCCTCATACGCTGTGTCTGCACTTGGGCAGCAGCTCTTTAGAAAGGATTTTAGTGAGCAGAATAGACTCGATAAAATAGACTGAGAGGAGCAAAGTGAGAAGGTGC